TTGAGGACATTGCTGTTTTCTGGCCCTCTCAAATTTTTTTTTTTTTTTTTTTGTATTTTAGGGAAGGTTCAAGGGGGTATTCAGGGTCTCACTGCTAGATCGGACTCATAGTTATCTGCCTGTTTACAGGCCCCCAAGAGCTGGGATTACAGGCAAGTGCTGCCACACCCAATCTCAATTACTAGCTCAATGCTCCCTGGGGGCAGGCCCAGGGATTAAACCCCTGGCCCTCTGATTGCAGGCATTTTAATCCGATGAGTTATTTGGCCGGCCCTCCTTGTGCTTTTGATTCCGGTTCCTGGTCCATAAAATGACTCAAATGCTCACCACTCTCCTACCTCCTATAAGAGGCAGAACCATTTCCTATCTGAGAACTCCTCCTGCCCTTCCCCCCTCCACAGCAGCCTCCAAGTTAACTAGTGGCCTCAGTGATACCAGGAAAGGGCTCCTCTTGGTGCCTGCTGGGTCCTGACCCTCCTTGCTACTTTGTTCCATGGTGGTGGTGAGGGAGGGTCATAACCACAACAGTTCTTGGTTGGCTGGAGACAGGTCTTGTCTTAAGGGCGAAGAGAAAAAATGTTCCTTTTTAATTGGGCGGAAGCAAGGTTGGAATATTTAAAGATTGTTCTCATCACCTGGAGGGAAAACTAGCAATAAAAACAAAACAATTTTTTTTTTTTTGCTGTTTTCTGATTATTTTTTTAAAATGTATTTAGTACAGTGTCTACAGAGTCTCACTAGCAGATCAGACTTGTAGTGATTCTCCCATTTTCAGCCTCCCAAGTGCTGGGATTACAGATGTGCCACCACATCCAGTCACCACACTCAGTCTCAGTCACAGTCTCAGCACAGCCTGGGGGCAGGGCTGGCATGACACGCCAGGGATCAAACCCTGGTCCCTGGGTCTGCCTGTGCAGGCACTTTAGCCCACGGAGCTATCTGCCTGGCTCTATTGTTTTCTGATTCTGATGGGACCCAGGGACATGCTTCTCTGTGACACAGAGTGTGGTCAATAGACATCAGGTGTGGTTATAGAATGGTCTGCCTAGATGCATTCAGGTCCTGTTTGGGGTTAGGAAGGAAAAGCAATGGAGAGTGATCCAACTTCTTCAGGATGTCAGGTAGGGCAGAAGTGGTTGGAAGAGCAAAGAGGATGCATCAGGTTTGGAGGGCTGTGCCTGGCCTATAGGTCTTGGGTTCTCCAAGACCCACTGCCCCTGTGGTTTAGGCCTACAGACCTTTCCCTGGTAGGTATGGTACTATTTATGTCCCTCCTGGCACTCTTTCATGTCCTCTGGGCCATGGCACTGTTGAACTGTAAGCTAAATACAGCACCTACAGCTGGAGTTGGGACAGGAGGAGGCAGCAACTGATGCTGGATGCCAGCACCAACAGCTCTCCTTCAGGTGCAAGCAAGTCCTTTAAGTTGAGAAGGCTGGGAATAAAATCCTCCCGAGACTGAGGTGTAGCCCAGGTGTCTCAGCATGCCTTTGTATTTTTGATGCTTTGACATCTGGGCCTAGCTGATCCTGAAGAGAATGCTATCTCCATAAGTATACCCAGAGATAGTAAAAGACTTGGGTACAGATGAGCCTTCATATGCAGCCAGCCCAGTACCCACATTCGGCTGCCTCTTATTGAGGCCTCTCAGGGATCCTAGGCACTGGACTGTTCTGTCCTAATCACTTCTGGGCCAAGAGCCAGATGACTAAAGACAGCTTCTATTCCCTACAGTTTGCTGAGATTATTCAGACTAGCTCATCTTAAACTTGCTTACTCAGTGTTGCTCATTTCTTCCTGTGGAAACCACAGTAAGGGCTCTCTCCCTCCTGGCCCACCCTGGACTTCTTTGTGGCTCCCTGCATGGAGTACTCTGTCATCTATTTCTAGTGATCTGTGAGTACAAACTTCTTCCTTGATGATAGTCATTTCTGTGTCTGTGTCTTTTTGAGACAGGGTTTTGCTGTACAGTGCAGCCTGGCTTTGAATTCAGTTTGTACCCAGGCTGGTGTCAAACTTGATTTTTCTGCCTCAGCCTCCTAAGTGCTGTGTGTATTGTTGTAACCAACTAAATCCTGGGTGCATTCTAAAACAATGGGGGCAGCGGGGGGCACTGGGGAGATAGCTCAGCAGTCTAAATACCTGCCTGGCATGCACAAGGACCCAGGTTTGATCCCCAGTACCGCATGTTGTGCCAGTCCCAGAACCCCAGGCACACTGTACAGGCTACTGAAACCAGGTGTGATGGTGCGTGCCTGTAATTCCAGTGCTGGGGAGGCCTAAACAGGAGGATCATTACAGGTCTCAGCTGTGTATTGAGACCCTGTACCAAATAAATAAATAAAAAGATTAAAAAGAATTGAAGCAATGGGATTCCCTGAGGGTTAAAGATTATGGAGACTGATTAGAGCTGTTTGGTCATGGAGGTGAGATAGAGATCTTACAGTAAATGCTCATGTTGCAATTCACCTGATTCATTAGAATTCTCCCGTGTGCCCAAGAACACTCTCAAGATACCCATGTGTTTGATAAGCCCTATAAGAGGGGAGAAAGCAGAAGCAGCCCATCCTTGAGGTAAGGGAGGCATGGTGCTTCATTCTTAAGAGTGCTACAGACTTGTACCTGCTTCTGTGCAGCTCTCTAGCAATGACAGACCTCTTGTGGGATGGAATATGTTCACACGGGGACAGTTGTGGCCTGGAGGATTGTGGAAAAGTGTTCCCATGATTTGCTATGGAGAAAGGGGGCTGCTCACCCTTTGTCTGTGTGGCCTGGCATGATGCGATTCCTAGCAGCAATCATAAGACCCGGAAGCTCTTTTGCCCTTTACTGAGAGCCACAAGTGCCTCCTGGATTCTTGTGCAGTTCTAGAAACAGGGATGACCTTTCCCATGATGGCTGAGATCAATACCTTTTAGGTGACTGGTAGCTGGTCAACAAAGCTGATTTGATTGATACAAATAAAATAATTCTTGTACTAAGAAGTTTGTGGAGGAAAATTCCTGCTTACTAACATCAGCATTCTAAAACTAGCTGAGTCTGGAGCACATGCATTAAGAACCTGCCTCCAGATGGAGGGAATAGAAAGCTGTAGATGAGGTGGAGTTGAGTGAGCAGTAGGCGCTCAAGATGAAGAGAGCCTCCCTCCAGCCCTTTGCAGGAATCATCTTTCATAAAACATGAACCACTGAAAGAGCATACCTTTCCATAGGTATCAGCAAGTTAATCTGTCAGTCTCAAAACCCATCACTGCTCAGATTTTCTGGATTTAAGCAATTTACCTGTGGTTTCATCATACTTCATGGATCATCATAGATTGTGATCTGTAATTCCTTGGCAGATGTCTTAGTCACTTTCTTATTGCTAAGACACAACTCCTGACACCTCTGAGTTTATTGTGGATTATGGTTTTGGTTCATGGTCATTGGGCTCCAAGGGAGAGATGGCATTGTAGGAAGGGTCTGCAGGAGGAAGGCTGCTCCTATGGCTGCAGCCAAGAAACAGAAAGGGAAAGGAGCAGAGAGGGAGCTATTCTCCCCTAGGTCCTGCCTCCCAGCAACACCCCTTCTAACCAGGCCCCACCTCCTAGCAGCACACCCAGCGGCTGGGCTCAATAGTCCATAAATCCACTGATGAGTACAGCACCCCTGTGACTGAATCACCTTCCAAAAGTTCTGTCTCTGAGTATCTCAGAGTTTTAGGTAACGCTGTAAACCTAAATCATAACAGCAGAACTCTTCAGAAAGGAACATAAAGCTTCATGCTCCTAGTCAACAAACTGGATGTCCATGTGCTACCGCTACAAAGGTTTATGATAGAGCCATCCTTTAGAATTTTGCTAGATATGTCCTCATACTTTAAGGCATTTATTTCTGTGTTAGAACAGGCTTGATTATGATGCAATTCCAAACAACCCCAAACTCCCTAGTGACTTAAAACAAGAGGGTTATTTTTCACTCATGTTGTATGTGCAACATAGATAGTCAC